GCAAGTATAATTATCTCTTGATTCAAATATATGTTTCATATAACTTTTTAATGGGTTTTTTACGAAATTTATCTGTGAGGTTCAAATGCCATGAAATACGAACATTGTGAACCCAATAAAAAAATTAATTGAGGACTTAAATGATAAGAAAAATGAATTGAGAATCCAAATACTCATTCGGAGAAATGTCAAGGACTATCCCGTCCATTATCGGTATTAACCAAATCAAATGGAATAGTCCCTCTCTATCTTGCTTGCATCAAACTTTCTCAACGCGTGCCCACGTGACCCATGCGCTAAACATACATGTCAAATTAGCACAAGTGGATGGTGATTTTGAATATAACCATGCTACATGTACATGGTCCTTGACATAAAGTTTTACATTGTTCCATATACCGCGGCATGATTGACCAGTTTGAAAATAAAAAACAATTTTTCGCCCGTTCACTTTTGAATTTGCAAAGGCATGTCAAACATCTTGTACAAAATCAATGCACAAATGGTTTAATCCTTTTGAATATTGATTTATATTAGTAAAAAGATTCTTCCGATCAATTGTTCAAATAAGAACTTTATGTAAGAATCGAAACATCAAAAGGAGAATTGAAAATATTTCTAATAGGAGAACGGAGTGTTTTTTCTTGGAGATGAAAAATCCGTCCACCAAATTTTATCAACTTGCAAATTCTGTCTCAATTAGCTACAAGAATGAAATTGGCTGATATAGAAGAGAAATGCTTCGATAAGAGACGACCATCTACTAAAATATTGACACATGTCAATTATGTCCCATTTAATAAATATTTCTATGATAAAATTTGTTTTGATTCTAATAAAAAACTTAAATTGGGATATAAAAATATTTTTAAATAGGGTCTTATATAATTTTCAAAGTGGAAATACAAATATATTTTAAGTGTTTCAAATGTAAAATAAATGTATGCTAATTGCTCTAATTCATAATTGTCCCATTTAAGTTTATTGACAATTGCCAAATCAAGCTTGTTTGGTATGGATTTTTGGGGAAAGAATTGATTTTAAATAGTGATATGATGAGAAATGTGTGGTTGAAAAAGAAAATAAAATAATTGATGTAATGAAAAATATTATTTTATTGAAAAATGTGTGGTTGAAAATGAGAATTGATTTACTGTAGAAAATGAAAATCCCTCCCAAACANAAATGAGAATTGATTTACTGTAGAAAATGAAAATCCCTCCCAAACAGGCCACTATATTGAATATTTGTCAATCGGATAAATTTATTTCATAAGTAAATAATTTTATACAATTAAATTATCTATTTTACTCAGGTGGGCAAAAAATGATTTTTGAGTTTGCTTTATCTTTTTTTTTTTTTTTTTGGCATGTAAAATCTTTCTAGTACGATGTTTTAGGTTGTGCGGAATATTGATTATCAATGTCCTTTAAAACTGAATGTTATGTTATTTTGTTACTTGTCAAAACTCTTATATGCTATACATTTGGTTGGAACTGTATTCACATGGCATCAAGATTTTTGTGGGCTTGAACCTATTTTATACATTGACATATTGGTATATTTACATCACAATCTTATTAAATGTACATCGAAGTTTACATCATGACTTATCGAATTTACACTTGACATAATCTTACATCATCTTTCAATCTCACACATTTAATCCAACCATCAAAACACTTTCACGTCATCAATTTGTCAACCAAAGTGTCTACCAAGATCTACAAATAGCTTAATACATTTACATGGTGTTAAATGAGCAGACGGTTAAACAAAATATTTGACATTTTTGAGTTGATATTCGATAATTGGCAAGAAACTCAAATGCGAGTCGATTCGGTTCTACGAGAGGTTTATGAGGACAATTATTAAATAGAGCAATTAAAATTCGTTCGTATTACACATTTATATTTTCATTTTGGATAACACATAATAGAGCATTTAATGGAACCCCAATTAAGCTTATGTTTGGCTTTCATTTCTTAAAACTATTAGGGTCCGTTTGATTTGTGTTTCAATTTTCAGATTTGAGTTTTGAATTCATTTTCAGTTTTTCGTTTTGAGTGTCTAATTTGAGATTGTTAAAAACATGTTTGATTTGTCGTTTTGAAAAATTATTTCTCAAAACATAAGACTAAAAAATACGTTTGATTCAAAACTTTTAAAAATTGTTTTACGACATTTTGTTCCATAACATTTATATTCAATCAAAATAGAACAACTTTATGTTAACATATTATCAAGTATATAAATACATTTTAAAGTTGATGAGGTTTAAAATATTTTTTCTCAATACAAAAGTAAAATAAAAAAAAATTATAAATTGAGTTGAACATATAAGAAATAAAAATAAAATAAAATTAAAGACTTGAATTGAGAATAATTTTATTTGTATTCATTTAAATACTTGTTATGTAAATAAACATTAATAGTTTGAACTATTTTAATTTTTCTAGATTTTTTTATAATTTTATTTTTATTTTATATTTTTTAATTTTCGATTTATTTTTTCAAAATTTTTATTTATTTTTTCAGAATTTAGATTTTTTTTCAAGTTTTAATCTTTTAATTTTTATTTAAATATTAAAACGCTTTCTTTTCCATGTTTTAAGTTTTATGTTATAAATTTAACTTTATTTTCAAAATGTATGTTCATAAATACTATACTAAACACGTTTTCAGTGTTTTGCAAAACTGAAAATAGCAAACCAAATGCATCCTTATTTTTCTCAAACTCATTCTCAACAATATATTTTATGAAATTCACAACTTTATCAAATTTTCCATCA